CCGCGGAAATTTTGATGTCACCTTTCTGAAAGCGTCGAGAACCATCTCCTAACACCAAGAGGAACCTGCTGACGCCGATCCGACGCAAGTGGGCTGAAATTTAACCAATTTTCGCCTGATTTGTCTTTAACCCGCGCCGGGAGGAGCTGACCTCCGCTGAGGTTAGCATCTGCTCCGGTGGTGCGGGGCCTTCCCTGAAGACTCTGTACGATGGTGACCGCTACCCAACGCGGCTACGACCCAGCCACCATTGCTTGGACTCAAATTGGTGTGCAACAGGCGGTTGCCACCAAACATGAACACACCAACATCGAAGATGAAGCCCTTTTCCAGCTCGTCACATTACGATGAAAAACTGCTCAGCAGAAGACGATGTCCAAGCCGCCTGCCGGGAAACCCTGTGGTCCCGTCTCCAACGACTGTGCTCGCACCGCACAGCCGAAGGGTAACCTGATTAAGTGGCGCACACGCGCTACTCCCAAGATGAGCGCAGATGATATCATCGTGGTGTTGAAGCCCCGTGAAATTCTGAAGCTGAAGACGGCTTTGCAGACTGGAGATCTGGGCGCCGCCATTGCCCAGTACATTGGTGGCGAAGCTGCAGCTACCCTCAACGTTTGGTCTGTGTCGACATAGAACTTGATTGTATGCGGGACGCAACATGTGGAGGCCGCAAACAAATTGGCCCGTGATTGGGACCTCAACGTGGTATCTGCCTCCGTTCCTCTGCGGGGCCATGTCAAACTCAACGGTAAAGTGTGTCGAGGCGTCATCACTGTGCGGGCAGACGAGACAACGGCATCACTTAAAGGCCAAGTGGTTTGGTGCAAGGGCGAGCTGGCGTTCGTGCGCAAACTCGGAACATCTCACGTGGCGGTGCTCACTTTCGTGGGCCGGAGAGTGCCCCGCTACGTTTACTACAACCTTGAATTCACGCTTGCTATGGAATATAAGAAGACCGTCCCTGCCTGCCACCTCTGTGAGACAATCGCTCACTGGATAAACAATTGCCCACATACGGATGTCGCAAGATGTGACTATTGCGGCCAGCGAGTAGGCGCCTCCGAGCAGGGCCTAGCTAGAAAATGAGTGCACCCCTTCGTGCATGGTTCGTGGGGAGGCCCATCTCACCGGCTCCGCAAACTGCAAGGGAAAATTCCGCCAGCTTCAACGCCCAGGAAAGCAACAAGGGGCTTCTAAAAGGAATACGAGCAAGACCTCCGGCAACGGAGGTGCGTCGAAGGGCAAGTCCGGACAAGCCACCTGACCTGCTCCCGCCAACAAGGCATCTAAGGAGGTCAAGAACAGGAACGCATCTGGACAAAGTGTAAAGACGTCATTTTCTCAGGAAGGGGATTTCCGCCCCTTGATGACAGCAAAGCGGCCACAAACAAGGTGAGCAAATGGTCAGGGGTCACCACCACCTCCGTTCCCTCCCCATCACCTTTAGAAATTGAGTTTAAGAAAGAATTAGCCTCTCTATGAACTAAAATTGAACAACTAGGGCAGAAAATTATGCACTCCAAAGCGAAAGGGCAGAATCGCTTTTACCAGGCACTCTGGATAGCGGTGATGAATCGGCCACACTGTGCTCGGACATGGGACCGGTGACGTATGGCCCTCTCATTAGCACCCTGGAAAGTCGCCGTCGGCCCTCGAAAAAAGTGTCACCGACCAAATGGCACCACTGCCGACGATGATTGCGCAAATTATACAAGCACAAATGCAACAGCTGGTGACTGCACTCACTCAGCAAATCACCCCTGCTGTGACCCGAAATATCAAGGCCTGGATCCAGGCTACTCCTAAATTGTTTAGGCGGGCTAGTCACGTAAAAAGGTGGGTCGGCCTTCCAAAGCTTACTGCAATATTGAGGAGGAAGGTACTGAAGACGTCTCGCTCGTTCCTGCCCTTCAGGCAGTGGAAAGCCAGCGAGCTTCTAATAGTGCTAATCATGGCGCCGGGACATAGGCAGAAGAGTGCTAATTCAAGACAAAAACCACTGTCAGTCGTACAGTGGAATTGTAGGGGCTTCAGGGATCGCGCTAAGCGCACTCATTTTTGTCTCTACTTAGAAACGTTCCTATTTGTAGCAGCTGTCGTCGTTTTATAGGAACCAGGGGCTTCAGCCAAAATTTCCGGGTACAATACATTTCAGCGAGATCCATCTACTTGCATCCTTGTACAAAAAGCACACATGGCACCAGAGGTAGACCTCGACCTGCAAGTAGCATATTCGTACAGCGTGCTCACAGTGCTACCCCTGCGACGCTCTGACCCACAACTACATATACTTGACATCTATTGCCCGCCTAAGCTAAAACACATCACTTTTGCAACACCTTCAGCCGGACACTGAAGATAGCTAGCCGAGATCCCTTATTCATTCTTGGGGACTTCAACGATCCCAGCATGGTGTGGGGTTACAATAAGGAGGAAGTTAGCTAATAGAAAGCTAGCGGAGCTCATTTCCACGTTAGGCATAACGTTCCTGATTGACCCAGCACAACCAACACGTTTAGAAAACTCTGTGACTCGGGACACTTGTCCCTATCTCACGCTTTCCAAACACATACAACACATTGAGTGGTACAACACCTAAGAAACGCTAGGCAGTGATCAATGCACCCTTAAGACCATGATTTCCATCCGGCCCCTAAAACGGCCATCAAATTAGGCCAAACTGCCAGACTGGACTGGTTTCCGTAAGTCCCTGCCACGGACCAGTCTTCGATGACGGATATAATTCACGGGCTCAAAATCTTATGACAACACTCAAGAAACATGAAAAACGCATACAGATTATGGAGGACCTCCCAGCGGTAGATAATCATTTACTCCATCTCAGGGAAGCTCGCCGCAGTCTCACTAAAAGATGGAAACAACAAAAGCCCAACAGAACGCTAAAAAGACGTATAACAAATATGACCCAACAGGCTGCCGATTATGTTTCTCAGTTAGCTGATTCCAACTGGATCGATCGTTGCAACTTGGCGGCCCGAAAGATGTCAGGGAAGAACACATGAAAGTTTTTCCGTAGTCTAATGATCTCGCTCAATCGCGGGGAGAAACACAGAAACACTTGCAAAGTGCTTTACATATATTTCAGGCCACAACAACAGAACTGGCAGAGGCGTTAAGGGATAAGTATCTCTGAACAAAACATGACCCTCGAGGTCAGGAATATCTCTATGCAGGCAGAGATAACGATGAGATGGATAAGCCTTTCCACCTCTACGACCTCAAGGCAGCCTTAGCCAAAATGAAGAGAGGCACTGCCCCCGGTCGGGACAAGGTTACAATGAAAATGCTGGCCAATCTCCCTGATTGCGAGTATGAGGCCTTTTTTACCCACATTAATGCGATAGGGAAAGAGAAGATGCCTGTGCCACTCGAATGGAAAACATCCCTTGCCACTATTATTCCGAAAGCAGGAAAGAAAATTAATACAGACAACTGGAGACCTATCTCGCTCACATTGTGCGTGGGCAAACTATTTGAGGCCATGGTGCGAGATAGGCTTTCCGATTATTTGGAAGATGTAACACATTTGTACACACGATGTTCGGCTTCCCTCCACACCAGTCGGCACAAGACATAATATTACAACTCAGTCATGACATATTACAACCAATAGAGCACCCTCACAATGACGAGGTTGTCCTAGCATTATATCTAAAGGGGACCTTCGACAACATAAAGCACAGCATTATATTAGCACATCTCAGTGAGACTCATTGTGGCACAAACACATTTAATTACATCAGAGATTTCTTGACGGATCAAGTTGCACTCATCAGAATTCAAGATAGTGAATATGGACCTTACGAATTGTGCACTATGGGGACGCCACAAGGCGCTGTGCTTTCCCCTCTACTGTAAAATCTAGCGATGATACACCTTCCGGTCCAGCTGAAGGGGTGTGCAGGTGTGCAGCACGTGCTGTACGTCAAGGACGTCACCATCTGGGCCCGGAAGGAAATATTGGGGATATGGAGGAAAGCCTGCAAGCAGCCGCTCACGTAGCGGATCGGTACGCAGAGCGCTGCGGACTCCAGCGTGCACAAAACAAATCAGAATTTGTGCATCTTAAGCCATCGCATAAGGACGCTATAAACTGCGTATCTTTTTGGCTAGTGGCCCCATACGCGAGGCTAAAGAGATCGGAATCCTCGTACTCTTCATTCGAGATCAGAGGAGAGTTGACACAACACTACAAAAGCTTCGCAAGGTTGAGGACCAAGTGGACCGAATGGTTCGACGCGTCTCAAACAAGAGAGAGGGATTACGAAGCAAGCATGCTGTGCAGCTAGCTCATGCCTTCATAATTGGCCGTATTTTATACCCGGTCACCCATCTTCACTTGCGCAAGCATGATGCAGAGAAAGTCGAGGCAATCATCTCTAAAGTGATTAAGAGGGCCCTTGACCTACCTTTCACAACTTCTAACGCGCGACTTCTCGCGCTGGAAGTAGTGAGCACCTTTTAGGAGCTTAAGGAAGCACACCTCACGAACCAATAGACACGTCCAACACAGACAAAGACGGGACGGCATCTGCTGGACCAGCTTCACTTGAAACACTACTTTCACACTCAGGAGCGGGTTCGAGTGCCCGAACTCTGGAGACGCGCCGTCAGCGTTCGACCCCTCCTCACAATGATGGATAGAGAAGGAAATAGTGGTCATCGCCAGGCAAGGGCAGACGCCTTGCAATGTCACTACGACAATAAACACGGAATCTTCTACCTGGATGTGGCTGGTCCTAATTGCACGGGGTGGTTAGCGGTAATTCACGAGGAAAAGTAAGTAGATGGACTCACTTTCAAAGCTCCTGGCACAACACAAGCGGAAGAGGTAGCTATTGCCCTAGCTGCCTCCGACCATCGATCTCAATGAATCATATCCGATTCGCGTGGGTCATGTCAAAATTATGAAGCTGGTTGGATCACACCACTAGCGGAAAGAATTTCTCTGAACTATAGAAACCGGAGAATCGACCCTACCCCTCGTTGCCTAGTATGGACTCCAGGCCACCAGGGCCTAATGGGGAATGAAGCCGCGAACACGATGGCCCGAGCACTCGTTCACCGGGCGTTCCGCTTAGATCCAGAGTGCCTGCAACCCGAAAGCGGATATCTGCTGACATTCAAAGATATTACGACTTATTACAAGGATCAGCATCGTCAATACCCACCTCCTGCAAAGGGGCTGGGCAATGCTAATGAACGCATCTTGCTGAGACTTTTCACCAATACTTTATTGTGCCCGGCAATCATGTAACATTTCGATTCTTCTTTCACTGGCAAGTGCTAATACTGTGGGATGGTGGCTGCCACCTAACAGATCGTTTGGGCTTGCCAGCTCAACTCAGCTCTTCCCCCAACCCTAACCCAACCAGAGAGGAGTGGGAGGCGATCCTGCTGGGTTGCTCGGACCTTCAAGCCCCTGGTTTACGGGGCTAGGTTAGCAAGTGTCACCAATGGGGTCCCGGAAGAGGGACTCCGCCCACTATGAAGCATCTAAAGGGCTGCACCTCTCCTCCTTTTTTCAATAAATGTTTTCACTCACTCACTCGCAGTGGGCTACCGCACGCTTTCCACATTTCGCAGCGCGGGACTCGATGTGACGGGCGCTCGCCAGCTGTCGCCAAACCACACTGTGCGCGTCCGTTGCTATGACAACGCACTTGCGACGTGGAAGAGGATGAAATCGGCCTTGGCTGAACATCAAGTTGAAACGCATGCACAAAGTAGTTTTCTGGTTTTGTTGCCGGAGGAATAGAGTTATGACCCAAAAAAGAACAAGCAATTAGGTGATGGCAATGTTGACGTGATTAGCTGCAGCACGATCGTAAAAAAGTACGATATTGAGTATGCGTAGGCGAAAAGGCTTGAGGTCTGTGTGCTTAGACGTAGGTAAACTTTAAAGAATCCCAGGTGGTCGAAATTTCCGGAGACCTCCACAACGACGTCTCTCACGACGTGGTTTCGAGACGTTGAACCACAGCTGTTATTATTAGATTTATTATACTGAGTGTACTTGTCTGAATATGAGTGTCGGGCTTCGATTTGGCACACTCTCGTAAAATTTCAGGTGTACGTACCAGAGTTAAGCGAGCTGAAGCCGTTGCTCCCGGAGCCGTTGCCGAAGGAGCACAGCCTACTGCCAGGGCCCTTTGAATGGTTATTAGTCTTCCCAATTTTGTGCGTTTTTCTTCGTGTAGGTCTTCTATGGCTGTTAAACAGCCGATAATAAGCCCAGAAAATCTTCAAGAAACCTGAAGTAGAGCTTGCAGATTATGCACAAAAGGCAGGTGCCGCAGGTATGGGCACGAAGGGGTGTGATGGGTCGACATGAATTTGAAAAAAAAAAACAATTTTCTCCTTCGACAATTTTACATTTCTACCCACTCCTTCATGCTTAGTGATATCCGGAGGGTGGCAGCGTGATCTCATAAAGATGTTTTGGGCATTTTAACCTCCTTATCCTAACTTTATTGTTGAGACACACTACCTAAAAATGCAAGAAGTGCAGGAAAAAACAAACCCCGAATATTAGAGCTGGTAGAAGTTTATAGCTGGTACAGTAATGCCATATACGTGGAAGAGTTTTGCGCAATACCTGGTTACCGGACGATGGTATCGATCGACATCTCAGTTTTTGACAATTCATGCGACCTTATTTATACGCATGTTCGTTTGTTGTCGACTAGTGTCATTGAAGATAAAATGTATTCACAATGACAACTCACACAGCATTAGTCCTTTTCCATCATTTCACACCAGCACAGAAGTAAAGTGATCCACGTTTCTGCAATAAAACAATACAAGGCACAATGAAGCCAGCAGATAATGAAGCCAAGAAAGGTACACGGGGTGTTAATTGCACCGTTTTAAGTGTGTTGTAATATATGTAACACAGCTGCTAAGACAGTAAAGTGGACAAAAACTTGCCGCCGGCAGCGAGCAAGCCTCAAACCTTCATACCTGTGCGTTCGGTTTCTGGCAAGTTGTAATTTTAACGCGATAGCGTTAAAGAGCTCGTGTCGCAGAAAACCCGCCACCGGCGTCGGCCCCGTTGGTTGTGAGCGAAAAATCTTCCCTGCGTCTGTGACCGAAAAATCAAGTTACCGAGATAGCCGCGGGAGGCCGTAACTTGTCCACGCGTGCGCTCGTGATCACACTGAAAAAGCCACGCATTCGAAAAAAAAGTGCTCGAGGTCACGAGGCATGGTGGTTTTTTTGCCCTGCCACCCCTCCCTGCTTAGCTTCCGGAGCTTTCGTCGGAACGAGAGAAGAAATAATGGAATTGCAGCATGCGACAAACCTCTATAACTCCACTCGCAATGGACGGATTCTTAAAAATTTTGCGGCGTTAAATTCGTGAGGCAATAAGCTGTTGTAGTGAATTCATTCTATGGTTACTTGAAATAGTCTTTCAGCCTTCAGGGCCCCTTTAACGCATTTTGTTCGACTGGTGTCACAAAGAAAACGAGCCCATTCGGCGATAATAGCGCGTGCTGGTCCAATCTATTGTGTGCGTGTTTGTGTGCGTGCGTGTGTATGTAACAAAACATGTGAATAAAATGCACTTAGTGGTGGAAAGGTGCACTAGAACTGAATTTCGCTATCGAGTTCCACTCTTAAAAGCGAAGCTTAAGTGTCCGCCAGTATTTATCCACTTCACTTTGATCAACTCCCTAAGAAAGCCACTTCATTATACTCAAAAAAGTACAACTAACGTTAACTATACCGTCCCTGACTTAATTTTCAGTTGGGTTCCACTAATGGAGATTGCGCACCAGCACGCAAACTCGGAGGCCATGTCTATGCTTAACCGGTTAATAAAATGCGTTGCTAGGGGAATTGGTGCATGTCTAAATATAAAAGTCGAGCGCAAAAAACAAAAACAAACGACGAGGCGCAGAAAAACAAGTAGACAGGATAGAACGCGTTCCATGCTGTCTACTTGTATTCTTGTGCCTCATCGTTTTTTTTTCTGCGCTCGACTTTTATGTTTTAGGTGGCTATTCGTGGCACCACTAGGTGGCACCACCGATCCGACCTCACTCTGCCTCACTACGGCCTCCGGTAATGCATAAACTCAAATAAGTTTGCCAACGAACTAAACCTCGTTAATATGAGGATGGACGTGAAACCGATACACAAAATAGCGGCTGTTTCAAGGAGTCGGAGAGATTGTAGAAATTGGGGAGGGGGGTGGGGGTGAAGGGAGATGCTCTCATCACGTGGTTCATCCTGTCATTGCAACCCTGAACCTTCCACTTGTCTCTGCTTATTTCGTTCACATTTCCGAAGGGTGCTAAGGTGACTCGCACATCTTCATCTGGCACGCCATGAAGAAGCCTCTCATAGCCCGATGATCCTTCGCGTCGAATGATTCCTCCTCCAGCATACTATTCTTGCCCCCTCATATTTGTACGTCCACTGCCCATAGGTGATTCTTTTCATATGCTCCAAGGGCAACCACTTCCGGCAACAGTGAAGGACGAGCAAGACTGCCTTGGACAAGCTCCACTTGATATAACCTGGATTTCAAGTTTCCCTGCAAAAGATTATTTGAAAAAAAAAAAGAATCACCCGAAGGCAAATGAAGCTAAAAAAATTGCAGCCTATCCACGGAGTGAATGATGGATAGTGGGGCGAAGCATCCGTCCGTCCATTCGTTCTTGCTTCCGCGCATCCATGCGAGCGTCTGTGTGGTCCGCCCGTGCGTCCATCCGCCCGTCCGTGCGTCCGCACGTTCATCTGTGTGTCCGTCCCTGCTTCAGTCCATGCATCCTGATCCTGCGTCCGTCCATGCGTCCATCCGTCCGTGCAGCCATCCGTGCGTCCGTCCATGCATCTGTCTGTGTGTCCGTTCGTCCTCCTATTCAACACTCCAAGTACCACCATCTCGCATCTTTTCATCATATATTCCTCATATAGAAGCACCACCATCCAGCGGACATTCCAAGGACTGAACGAGAGGAGGCACACGCACACTTTCTTGCGGCTTGCACTTCGTGTCTACTTCGAACCTTTAACCACCTCGAGTTCATGGTACATACTAGTTCACTGTATTCATGTTACTGTGGCCCAACGCTCGCTAAACCTTTCTAAAACATAGGAACTTACGCCCTGCGAGTAATAACGTAGCAACCTTTCTTGTCTACTGTGCGTTGTATAACATTGAAAAATTCGCAGCGTGCGCATTAACTAAAAGCCGAATTCTCCTGTCTCTCATTGCCCCTTAGCAGCCATTGGCATGTACATTGAGAACTGTCTTTTATTGTTCAACAACGCACAGAAGAAATATCTCAATGGCACAACCTTAGAGGTCTAAATGTTACACTTGTTACACAATACTACAACCACTACAAGGGACGAAAGAGTGCCGTTATAAAAACGTTCGCCCCTAAAAGGCGATACACCGCCCCGGGAGGGCTCGAACCTCCAACCTTTCGGTTAACAGCCGAACGCGCTAGCTGATTGCGCCACGGAGGCAGTCGTGCTGCTCTCTTACCACCGTCAGAACTTTTCTTCAATGCTATCAGCGCAAAGAAAAAAATAGCGACACACCGTCCCCGGGAGGGCTGGAACCTCCAAACTTTCGGTTAACAGCCGAATGCGCTAGCCGATTGTGCCACGGAGGCAATCGTGCTGCTCTCTCACGACCGTCAGAACATTCCATCAAAGCTATCAGCGCAAAAAAAAAAAGCAGCGAGACAACGCCCCCGGGACGGCTCGAACCTTCAACCTTTCAGTTAACAGCTAAACGCGTGAGCCAATTGCGCCACGGAGGCAATCGTGCTGCTCTCTTGCCACCGTCAGAACATTTTTCAAAGCTGTCAGCGCAAAGAAAAAAAAGCGACACCTCGCCCCAGGGAGGGCTCGAACCTCCAACCTTTCGGTTAACAGCCGAACGCACTACCTGATTGCGCCACGGAGGCAGTCGTGCTGCTCTCGTACCACCGTCAGAACTTTTCTTCAATGCTATCAGCGCAAAGAAAAATATAGCGACACACCGCCCCCGGGAGGGCTGGAACCTCCAAATTTTCGGTTAACAGCCGAATGCGCTAGCTGATTGCGCCACGGAGGCAATCGCGCTGCTCT